TAGGCTTCAGGTTTCATATTTTTTTACTAATACCGATATGAACGAAATCGATGTGTCAACGGAGCGTCGATATGAACGGGATCGATGTGGTGACCATGATGATCGTCGAGGAAAGTGTCGAACGCGCGGAGTTTCTAATTTGATGACCTGAAATTGTGCGCTTCTCGTCGCATTGAATAAGCGCAAGCACCTCGGACGACCGACGAGGCGAAAGCGACGAGGCCGGAGGCTACGCTACGAGTTCAGGCGATGTGGTGGTTACCGAATTTGTGGCACCGTTTTCGGTTGCGAGGTGGAACACGCAGCACATTCCCACGTATTGTGTTAATTATTAACGGTGACAGTAGAGTACGACGAATAAAAGTAATTAAGTACAGAAGAGTAGCAGTCATTCATTCACGGCGCAGAGTAATTACCGACGAAACGAACTGTCACTCTTCTCAATCTCTTACTGTCTCGCCTTACTGCCCGAGTGCCTGCCTGAATCAGCGCATCGGACGACAGCACTGCAGTTGAAGTGGTAATCGAACGAACCAACGACCGAACAACGACAGCGATCGGATCGAAAGTGTACATGTCAACATTTGCTGTCGTCGAATCGGTCGTTTCTTCTTCTTCCCGTTCTTAAGGAGAGCACAGTGAGTATAGAAACCTCATGAAGGACAAAACCTCCGCTGACTTTGCTTCTTCAGAACGAATGCAGACAATGACAGCAAGCCCTATCGATCCATTCGGCTTTGCTGATTTCCGATAAAAGGCGCCAGAGAAGTCACCGCACGAATAATTGGTTTGTGGCAGCCAAAAGTCCAGAGCGACGTTTCTTTTTGATCCCTCGATGTCGGTTCTTCCCAACATCGAGAAGCAGAATGTGCGAAGTGTTGACTGATTGAGTGAAAACTGTTTACTCATTAACGGAGGGAACGCGAGCTGCAGTTACACCCTCGTGAGAGAGGTCACTTTCATACTAGTGATGACGGTATCCTTGCAACGGTTCTCACGCTCAGCAACATCTGCTTCTTCTTCCTCCTTCTCCTGTCTCATTCTCAACCCTCTCCTTCCTGCTCAGCTATTTTCCGTTTGTCATTTTTCTTTGTTGTTCGTTCGTTGTTGTCATCACCAAAGCCACGACCGAAAAGTGTAAAAGGCAAAACAAATTAAATATTTAGATTCCTCCTAATTTAGACACGAGTCACGATGGCAACCACCACAAAGGTTTCTAGCCATCATCTTGATGGTCGTCCCGTTGGCCTATTGATTCGTCGTCGCTGCGATCGCCGGAGCAGCAACTCTCCGCTTTAGAAATAATTTTCTTCGTCCCTCAGTCTTAAGTGTCACTGTTTCTCGTGTGACAATCTCAAAATTTTGCCTCTTACCGTCAATCCAAGGCATGCGACGCACGCCGTTACCGGCTCTGAGCGAACGAAGTACGAATGAGAAGAAAAACTCACATCTAAATGGTTCCGACATACCATAAAAATTTGAAGTTTTGGCCCACAGCGTAATATATTCCAAAACACTCCATAGTATAATTACGGACTATGCTAATTCAGTGTTTCTGTAATCGAGAGTATCGAGAGTTTAATCAAAGATTTCATACGGTAGCGTCGTCGTTTCGGAATCTGCGCTGCATTTTATGCCGACAATCAGAGACCAGGTAGGTCAGGACAAAACCAACGCATCGCACAGCATGGCCAGTTCAGAATACCGTTCTATCACTGTTTTCCGCA